GGCTGGAAAAAAATAGTGCTTTCTTTTGCATCTCTTTTCTTTAGGCTTCAGATTTATCTATAAAGTCCGTTTGCCTGCTGGGAGGGTGGGACCCCCCTAACATCCAGGCATCTCTAAACTGGGATTGAGGGCTTACTGGGTGAACCCATTCAATTTCTTTACTGCCTTAGGTTTTGAGTTACAGACATTGGAGTTATGCTTACAAAAGAAAAAAATAAAGATCTAATTTTTCTCCATTCTGTTCAGGTAACTAAATTTAAGGGTTCCTATTTTTAATTCTGGATGAGGCGCTATGTGACTAGTTCTTTTGGGAAGCTCTTTTTGATTACCACAATTATTTTGCTTTTTTAGAGAATGAGAGGGGAATTTGGTTCCTTGTGTCTGTTGTTTTTCTTTACAAGTAAGAAGCTATTTCTGATGTGAAAGTAAGAACATTTATTCTTCTTAGGCTCTGATTTGCAGATTTTTTTTAAAACAGTTTCCTATTTTACACAATTAACTGAAACCATCTAAACCCTGCAAGAAAACTGGTCAAGCTATAAAAAGCAGCAGTTGCGTTGCCATTTCTGAGGGTGTCTTTCCAAAATTATGTACTTTGTTCATTCTGAAATGGGATGAAGTCTTCTGAACTAGAGAAGTTCTTTAGCCGTGTCTGTGTTTGCCACTGATAATGCTATGCTTGGGCCCTGACTGTATTTTCTTAAACTGCCTCGATGACTTACACAAAGTGGTCGTTTCCTTCAGAATCTTTCCATTCTAAATCTGATAATGGGGAGAGAAACTAATTCCTGTCTGTAGTAGTTACAGAACTTTTTTTTTTTAGGCTTCCTGTTCTGGTTTAAACAAAATAAATTCAGTCTCCTTGGTTCCTGAGATTTTTTAGCAGTTGATCATAAAGAAGATTAACTTATTTTTAGGACTGTACGTATCAAAAAGATGCAATAGCTATAGGTATAATAAAAAGAAGGTAGATGATTGTGAGTAAGGAATTCCTTTGACAAGGGTTAAAGCTGAGTGGATCTTTAAGCGTGATCAATGCTTTATAAATTCTGCTCTGCAGAGTTGCCATTTGGAGCCAGAGGATGATGAGGAGGAGGACTTTGCATAGCTAATAAGGAGAGTTTGCTCTGAGCCACTCCTTCTTTTGGGGTCTACTGCATGTGAAGTAAGCAGTTTCTGACAAGGAATCCAATTTCTTTTTAAAAGTGATTTTTGAAGAGATAATCTGTGGTATGCTGTTCCTTGTTCCTGATTGCAGCTACAGCTATTCATGAAGAAAATGTGTTCTATAAAGAACTCACATGTAAGACTCGGTATGCTATACAGAGAAGGGAGTTCCTCTTTGAGTTTGGGCAGTGCTGGTTACAAATTTCCTGTCTTGAAAAGAAATACCCTTCTCTCTCCGTACTTTCCCCCTCCCCTGCCGCCAATTGCAGGAATAGGCAGTGGTACTTATTTGATAAAGAAGTAGTTGGGTTTTTTCTTTCTGCCTTCAAAGAACATATATAAGGCAACCAAGCCAAGACACTGCTTTTGTTGGGACCTGTGCAGTTTGCTACATTACGTTTAGATGTCTACCGTGTATCTGTTTCTCTGAGTTTACTTTATGACATGAAAGTTTTTCAAATGGTCTGCAAAGTTAAGAGCATGCAGTTAAGAATGTGGCGTTTTCATGTATTGGTGATCTGCAGGATATGAGCTGTGCATTCATATTTCTAGCAGTTCATCCAGACTTCCTTCATATGTTGTACTGGCTGTTGCAGCTGTCAGTGGTGTTCCGTATCTTTTTAAGCAGTTCTTATGAAAACTGTTGATAGAACTTGGTGGAGCCTTGGAGAATAAAATCTGTTCTTTTAGAGCAAGTTAATTAAGTTAGCCTGCCTATTGTCATCCTTATGTTGTATTCTAATATTTCATAACCTAGTATGCTAAGTCTGTTTTTATACATGGTGCTTGTGTTCCCTTGATCTGAGGTCTGTTTGGCTGTTTTTAACCTACAGGCTCATCTAACTAATTCTTTTAGGTTTCATCCCTTCTGTCTTTCTTTTAAAATACTTGATAGCTAAGGGAAAATCCTTACTGGTTTTGTTGTAGTTTTTTTTCCCAGCCCCTGATAGAAAGGGCGTATTGTATTGTCAGTTGGCAAGAAAGTAGATGGGAGTTGGACCAGTGTTACTCTACTTCTCCCTGATGTTTTATAGCTTATAGGAAGGTATTGTAGCCCACTGTAACTGTAGAGCTGTCAGACTCTGTTATCTTGCCCTAGGGATGTGGCAGGTTTATGGCTAGAAATGCAAAAGCTGGTTTAAACTCATCTTGGTCTGGTACTTTTTCTGGCCGCAGCGTGTGTACTGATTAGTAGACAATCCCTGGCAGCGATTTGATACGCTATTCATTATTTCAAGACCAACAAGAATTTCATTGTTAATAGTGCTTGAATATAATAACAAGACATCTTTTCTGCAAAGAGCGGAGGTGTAGTATCAGCGAACTGCCAAAGCTAGGTAGGTAAAGATTAATTTCTTGTGTTTTGACATTGGTGTTGTTAAAACACTCTTTAGCGTAGGAACAGGACGTGTATTAGGGATGTGGAAACTGCATTAACAATCATGTCTTATGACTTGTCAAAAATAGTCCTTCTAATTGGACCGGGTAGCTCCTTGATCATATGAGAAGGTAACACTCTTTCAAATTCTAGAATACCAATTTCAATGTTTCATTTCTGTATAAACTACTTCTGTTTGCTCTTTTCAAGAGTCTTCTAAAGAGTCGAAGGTGGAAGAATTAGATTACTTAGCCATTTAGTTTCCAGGAGTTACTGAACTTGTACTGTGACTTTTGATTCTTTTGTTCAGAATTAACAATGAAGACACTAATGATTTATTGTGAAGAACTTAACAGTTTGTCATTCACCTTTTTTTTTTTTTTAATCTGAAGATGAGGAAAGGGGAAGGTTAGTAGACAAATATTTTCAGAGGTGTTCTGTATAACATTAGTTGTTTCAGAACCTGTTGAAAGAAGAAGGAATTGATCACTGCTCAGGTGATTGCATGATCACCTTGTAGGATGAAATGGATATAAATACCTAGAACTGCTTGCCTTACTGGTGAATGAGCTGGTTTTCATTCTGAAAGTTAATATGTTTGTATTGGAGAATATGGAATTATTTTAGCCCTTTTATCAAAAGGGAGTGTTTTTCCTTAGTGATTCTACAATACATATCAACCTCAGCATCTTGAATGTGTCAGTTTTGAATATGTTTTTAAAAAAACCCAAACAAACCCAAAACAAAACAGAAAACCACTACAACATATGAACTATTCTTTTGCCCCAGCAAAACTTTCTTTATTGCCAGATCACTAAAATAAGAGTTTGCTCTGTTGTATGTGTTGCTTTCTTCCAGCTTCCAGGTAGGTAGCTTCCATATGCTATTGAATTTTAATTTATCCCATTATAACTCCTGATTCCCAGCTTCCTGCCTTGCCCTAGTTGGTGTTTGGATATTGCTGTTACTCTGGGCTGGCATGGAGATACATATTTGGCTTCTCCAAGTCCCTCATGACAACCTAGAAGTTCTGCCCTGTTGTCTTCAAATGTTACATAGTGATGCTGAGAACTCAGACCTTATCTTTCTAGAATACTTGGGTAGCTTTCTCTATTACCTGCAAATAACTTAAACAGAGCAGATTCAGCCAGCTGGCTGTCTTGGGCAGAGTAACACGGCTTTATTTCTAGATGGTACGAAGATTTAAACCCAGTTTGGGGTGGTATGGAGGGACTTGGAGAAACCAAAATAGCAGGTAAGAAATTATGCTTCCTTTCCCCAGGTGCTCATAGTCCTGCACCAATGTCAAAAATATAATTAAAGAAGCCATCATAGACATAGTAGAAGGAACCTACTTTATGTAAAAAAAGAAAAAAAAAACAAACCCCACAAAACCAACACTTACTCCCACCCCTGTAAAGTTTCCTAGAACAGTTGAATATTTTGTCAGGTTAAATTACCTAAAACATTGTCTTCTAAATGCCTTCAAGAATTAATTTAACTTTTAATGCTATGTATGTAGACCTGAATTCCTCAGATGTAACAAATATATAGTCCCATAATAGTATGGAATGTAAGATCAAATGTCTAATATCTGGTTATCTAGACAGTCATTTTGTGTGAGTTTTTAGTAAATTATGAGATTTCCTGTTAAAACTTCTAGTGAGATATTAGAAATAGCTAATAACTTAAACTTTCAAAAAGCTGTGTGTTCTTATAAGACCATAGTTGTTAAAATCTTGTTGGTTTTGCATATTGTCTTTAACTGTAGGCTAATTATCCTTTCTGCTGTGTGGGTAAGTATGGCTTGAATACCAGGTTATTTTAAATAATGGGAAAATCTGCCCGAAGTGCACAGTTTTTAGTGTGGTCCCTACAACTGCCATGCTTAATGCCCTGCCTGCTAACCAAGCAGAGATAGTCAACAAATTATCCAGGCAACTATGTGTTAGCAAATTCTTGTGCTGGTATACAGATCAAGCAGTAAAAAAATCTAATTTCAACCTCATTCAAAATGATATTGAGATACCCTCCTTTTTTCACTGTAAAAATGTCACTCTTCTACTTGAAATTTATGCTGGAAGGAGTTACGCTTTTTCTTTTTGCCTGGGATACTATTTCTGGGGGGGGTGGTTCTGTGACAAAAGATCTTTTTTTTTTTTTTTTTTCTTCTTGTAGGTTGAAGGAAGAAGGGGAGACCTGCTTGTCCAGTGAAGATGCAATCTTAGTCTTCAGCTATTTAAGCTGAATGCATTGTGATTTCCAATAATTGAGACAGTGATTCTGAAAGCTGTCTACATTAATGAAAAGAACAATGTAGTCAGCTTAACTGAATCATCAGTGTTGCATATTGAATAGAGCATGATAAACCAATCTTGATGGACTTATGCATGTTAGGAATATAGATATAAACATTGATTAAAGCATTGTTTTTTTAAAAACAGTAGTTTTAAAAATGGAGAAATATGAAAATGTACCACCCCTCCCTAAAGAACCTGCAAGAGAAATGAATGTGGAGAATCACACTTGTCCCCCACCTCTGCCGCCTAATGAACAGCCTCCACCACCTCCCCTGCAAACGTCCAGTGACGCAGAGGTAATGGACGTTGGCTCTGGTGGTGATGGACAGTCAGATACCCCTGCTGGGGACACGCACAGTATCTGCAGAACACAACTTCTCACAAAGGGATCTGCCTGCTACAAAAGTCGTCTTATAATAGACCCTAACAATAGTGACCAAAGCCCAAGAACTGCTCGTCATGCACCTTCAGTTCGAAAGTTCACCCCAGATCTTAAGTTACTTAAAGATGTAAAGATTAGCGTTAGCTTTACAGAAAGCTGCAAAAGCAAAGATAGGAAAGTTCTGTACACTGGAGTTGAGCAGGATTATAAGGCAGATACAGATTTTGGTATTAATAATGTCAATGGGGATTTGCATGTTTGTCCTTTCGGTGGTAGTAATGGTAAAGCTGTAGGAATAGGGGGTGAAAATGATGACAAGAAGGATGATGAAAATGATATTGATCAGGAAAAGAGAGTGGAATTTGCAGTTCTGGATGAGCTAGAAGATTTTACCGACAATTTGATGGAAATAGATGAAGAAGGAGGAGGGTTCACATCTAAAGCAATCGTTCAAAGAGATAAAGTGGATGAAGAAACCTTGAATTACTCTTATGAGGTAAGTAAGTCCACAGGTTTTTGGTGGGTAAGAGGTTTCCAAGTGGCTAGAAAAAAAACATGTAAAGATGTTCACTGAAACAGTCTCTTCTACAAATGTGAAGTGCTTAAGTCAAAAATGCAGAATTTTCAGTGACAGAACTTTGGCTGAAAACTTTTGTAAATTATGTTGGTCAGACTTCTGAGCTGTGTGGCAGCTTCTATAGTCTTGTTTAAAATAACATTAAAAGGCTTCTTACACAATTGCAGCTCATCTTATAATGAAAAATACCAGTTGTCACTTATGAAAACTTATTTTCTTTTTTTTTTCCAGTCTTTTTACTGGGATCATTGGAAATTTCTAGTTTCTCTCTGTATGGAAGTACATAGAGAAAATGTATACTTTTTCTTTGCAAGGGGAAAGGGAGGTTAGTAGACTCAGGAGGATGGTGTCTGATGAAGTCTCTTTCAGGATGACTTTGATAATGATGTGGATGCTCTGCTGGAAGAGGGTCTTCGAGCACCCAAAACAAGGAGACTAGACAATGAGAAATATGGTGGTGAAAGTGATCACCAGTCTGATGGAGAAACAAGTGTGCAGCCAATGATGACCAAAATTAAAACTGTACTTAAAAGTAAGTTAATGTTCATTAAATATGTATTTTTTTGTGTGTGTGGCTTATGTCTGTAGAACAAAAATATATCAGCAAGTAAGGTTTAGGATAGCAACTCTTGTGAACTCTTTCTATAGGATATGGTTTTTCACTTTACTGAACAGTGAAGTTGGTTTTTGGGAGTCCTTTTGATCTTAATTTGTTGTATGTAATGGGAATATATTTTAGTGTGTGGATTTGTGAAAAAATGATGACGAATGTTACCTCAGTGGTGGGGAGGTGAACAAGGATGATCTGTTCTTTTGTGTCCAATAGTGTGAAACTGCTGAAGACTGTGGTCATTGTGAGCTTCTTCCTACTTTAGTTGTATAACTCCTGTTCTTGAACTTGCTATGTTGCATGCATAAAGACTTCAAATAGGAGGTAAAAAAAAATCATTAGGAAAGTCAGTGGCTTGCATTTATCAAGTTTCATCATGTAAATATTACAAACTACTAATAAAGAAGAGCTGAGAATGTGAACCGGTCCAGAAGAATGTAACTGAAAATGGTCTGAATTAGAAGTAAGATTTGAAGCTGCTCTAGAGAAGTATTTTACAGCTTCACTATATTCTGAAATAAGAAACCAAACAGCTTTCCCTCCAAAATTTTATACTAACACAGGGTTGCCGAGAAGCTCCTAGCTAAGGTGAGTGTGGTCTCTGACTACTGACGTAGAGAGGAGTGAGACCGTTCTCTGATTTCTGGAGTAGAAAGGAATGAGGCCATGAGTGTGAGCGTAAGCATGTTACTGCAGTATTGTTTCTTTTGCTATGCGATTCCTCATATTGGCTTATTGTACTCTAATTTCAGTCTTGTTTTCCGGACGTAGTATTCTTGAAGGCTAAGATATTTAAATATAAAGCCTTGTAGACTTGATCTTGGTTTGTATTGTAGACTTAATCCTTAGCTTACAGCCTAACCTACTGCTGGCTGTTTGGGTCTATGGGTCTAGTAGTGTCTCAATGCAAATTTATACCTGAGTGTCCAGTGCAAAAATTTTTAATAGAAAACTCAGTTGTTTCAAAAGTAAGTATGACTTGTCCATGAAATACAGTGGTGCTTGAGTATGTAAGTACATAAAGAAGACTAAAGAGAAGAGAAAATTCACTTTTGTAATGAACAAATCAGTCTGTTTGAAAATTAATGCTACTGTTGCTTTTCAGTTGAAAACATAATGAAATCTGTAATTTTTCAGGCTTTAGTGTGGGTTAGAAGCATATGCCTTTTTATTAAAGCAAAACAATATTTTCTGCAAAACTGTTTTAGTCTTGTTTCAGTGTCATTTTATTCTTTGAAGCAGAAAAAGCAATAAAAATAAGAACTGTGATTTGTTTTCTGTTCTAAGCAATCTATCCAAGTTTAAAGTGATTCTTTGCTTTAAAGGTCGTGGCCGCCCTCCTACAGAACCTTTGCCAGATGGATGGATCATGACATTCCATAACTCATGCATTCCTGTATATCTGCACAGAGAATCTAGAGTTGTTACCTGGTCTAGACCTTACTTCTTGGGAACAGGAAGCATAAGGGTGAGAGCTGTCAATTACTCAAATACTTACCAAGATTTTAAAATGAGATACGATCCTGCAAACAGTTGAATATTTTTCTACTTTAGCAGGCATCTTTGCAGTGTTAGAATTAAGGTACTTGAAAAATAAACCACTCCGTTTCTGAAAATACGACGTGATTTTTTTTCTTACGGTGTATTGGTTTTCCATTTTTGCAATGAGTTTGGGCAGTTAAAGTGAATGAGGTGGTCTTGTTTGGTGCCTTCATTGTTCTAGTATATGGCTGCAAAATGTTGGTTTTATTCCACCATGAAATATATTTGTTGCTTTAAACCAGCCTGAGCTGTGGCTTATGATCCACATTTACATAAGTAAGCATGTTTTGTTCATGAACCCAAGGAATACACAGAAATTGGGTTTAATGTCATGGGCTTAAATGCTGAGAGAGCTCGATGGATTTTTATGAAAGTATGTATTATTTGCATGTAATTGAAGGGAATATAGTTTGGATCAAAAATAGCAAATGCATTTTGAAGGTTAGTATCAGTGTTACACAGTGCCAAGAAACCATAGGAGTGGATGTACTCAAATCTTGAGTAGTATAAGATTGCTGACCAAAGAGAAGCCTGTGCCTAGACTAAATAAAAGTAGCTTCCATCTTGATTACATCTTTTGGTTTTGAGTTTTGCTTTTGGTGACCTTGAGGTACTGAAACCTTCTGTATTATTTTATATTTGCAGAAACATGATCCTCCCCTTACTAGCATTCCCTGCTTTCATTACAAAAAAATGAAGGAAAATGAGGAAAGGGAACAAAACAATGACATAACTCCAAATGGGGAAGTATCACCGATAAAGCACCTAGATAAGTCTTCAGAACTGGACTGCCAAACAGAAGAACCAGATTCTACTGCTGCTGATTCTGGGCCTTTAGATGACAAAGACCCTTCAGGGGGAGATGCAGCACAAGGAGCCTTAGGACAAGTTAAGGCCAAAGTTGAAGTATGTAAAGATGAATCTGTAGGTATGTATGGAACGTGGAGTCTTTTCTTGGCTGGAGTTGGGGTAATGGCATTTGGGATACCAAATATGCTTTATTCCAGACTTGGCAACTGAATAATACCTTGCCTGAGATCAAGTGGTCAGTTGTCTTTCTGCACAGTTTTTCATATGCACAGATCTGGAGAAATAGATCCAGTATTAGAAATCAGTTTTGATTTTAACAGGAAGAGAAACATACAGTGGAGATCTTTGCTGAAGACTTGGGAGTCCACAGGTGAAAACATGAAAATTTTGGAAGTTTAGTCCTGTAGACTTTATCTCAATTTAAAAATCAATTAAGTCAATGTGTACATGTGAGTTGCTGTTGTCAAGTGTGTTTGTGTGACTTCTTTAAATAGGCTTTTCTATGCAGTCTCTATATTGGCTGAAATATATCTATTTTCAGTATGATAAATGGTGCAGTTAAATTGATTTGCTTATTTGCACAAGTCTAGCAGAATAAGTTATGCAAATGTAATTGAACTCATGCAAAAGGGTGTGATTCTTCATTATTTTATTTATGTAAGTCTGATAGCTTTTATACAAAAAGCTGCTCAAAGAAGTCATGCCAGCATCACTGCCAAACTTAGAGGAACTTCAAGAGAAAACTCCTGTGCTACTTACCACAACCATGTACCTGAGAGTACCATCAATGTAAATTACTGCTGCTCAGAATACTGATACAGATTGTAGGCTACCACTTAGCTTTTGTAGTGTTCAAATATAAAACTTGTCGTTACATGTGTCCTGTTCAGTCTGAAAACCATGCCAGAAGATTTAAAAAAAAAAAAAAATCGTCAATATTTAGCAGCAAAAGTAAAACCAGTAAACACTTAATTTCTACATGAAGTTCACCTGTCTATCTCTTTCTTTAAATAGGATCTGTTCTGTATTACTGAAAAAAATACTGAGTGATCAAGTATAAGCGTGACTTGCATTTGGAATTCCTTGTGGAAGGAAACAATGCCAGCACCTTGCTTTTGTTTACATCTTGGGATGCTACTCTCTATTTTTACTGAAATATATGTATCTGCAGAAATACTCTATAAAGGAGAAGCAGCTGTACTTCAAGGGGGACAGTGTTTTAGTACTCTGTATGTGAAAATGAATGTGTTAAATTCAGTTTAGAGGCCAGCAGACATTTGTGGAGTTCATGGAGCATCATTGTATAGTTTTTCATGGTACGCAGTTTAATAAATAGGCAGCAATAGTCAATTTTGGCTTCAGGAAATAGAAGCTAATAGCGTGGCTACTGTTACTCACTGTATACCTTGTTTCAAGTAATGAGAAGGTGAATAGGTGATTAAGTAGAACAATTACTGGCCTTTTGTTACAAACTGTGTTGGATATTATGCTGATTAGGGCTTAATAAAATGTTCAAGTGACAGAATAAAATGTTCTTTTTTTGTTGTTTTGTTTTCTGGTTTGCACGAATGTTTTGTATTTGACCCAGTAACAGGAAAACTTGTAATTAGTTCTGTTAGTTTAAAATAGCATCTTAACCTTGAGTATGTGAACTAAAGCCACTACTTTTGCTCCTAGTCTAAAAAAAAACAACCGTTTAAAACAGTGGAAATAGTGAACATAATAATGTTTGCCTAGTGGTAAAGTAGAGAGAGTAACTTGCTTCTGTTTCTTAGATCTGGAAGATTTTAGACGCTATCTTGAAAAGCGTTTTGACTTTGAACAAGTTACCGTAAAAAAATTCAGAACCTGGGCTGAGAGACGGCAATTCAATCGTGAAATGAAGCGGAAGCAGGCAGAATCTGAGCGGCCTATTCTGCCTGCCAATCAGAAACTCATTACCTTGTCTGTGCAAGATGCACCTATAAAGAAAGGTGAGTTTGTCTTCCTGGAGTTCAAATATATACCTGTTGCAAAGACTAATTACAGTTCTAAGCTTGACTGAAAAAAAAAAAAAGAAAAAATCCTGTAATCAGTCCACTTTCTTGTTCTAGAATTCTGTATTCTTGGACCCATCGTATTACACAGTAAAGGAAAAATACTGTCAAAATATACTTCCTATTAAAAGGAATGAATCTGATTATTCCTAAATGAAAGGATTTTTGTTTAAGGTTGCGGTTCTGGTAACTGGTTACTACCTTCAGCTATTTGTTACTGTTGGTTGTTACTGAAAACCCTCCTGCCTAGTCCTTAGTGCTACTGCCTTTTCAGTTCTATACCAGTTCTAACTGGTCCCAAATTAGGGACTGGTTACAAATGCCAGATTGATCCAAATTAAAACCTACAATTAAAAGTAGAAGTTTAAAGCAGTTTGACGGAAACAGTTAAGAACGAACTGTGTGTGTAGTTGTGTCCTGTGGTGTGAGGAGTGGGTATGATGGCTGATGAGAAGCTGGGCGAATTAGCTCTTACCTGTATTGTCTGCCATAGTAGTATGTTTAACTGCAGTCTGATATTTAAAATGTCCATAGATCTGTGATTTGCGGTTTGTTCTTGTTTGGTACATTGTCGTGTTTCTGGGTTTCTTCTCCTTAGCAGAGTTAAAGCTTATAAGCTGTGTATTGACCATGCCCTGTTACAGGGAGATGCACTTGAATTTTTAGTTAATACACTTTATCTTAAATTCTAGATTTAGAGCCACATTGAAACCATCTAAATTAAGGACTTTTTTGCACTTTACCTAAATCTTAACTTTCTCTCACATACTGCCATAGTGCGTGCTGAGGCAGGGTTTGTGCTCTTGACTAACAATACTGTTGCAGGGGGAATTAAAAAAAAAAAAAAAGGACTTTTAAATAAAAAGAGCATGTTCAGGGCAAGGGGATAGTGACCTGATCTGTGGCTTGCTAAACAGGAGTTTGGGGGGGGGGCGGGGAAGAAGTGATTCTGGTTTGTGGATTTGAAGTCTACATGCCTCTTGTTAGAAGGGAGATACAACGTGTTTAGGAGCAAATTAGAGGATTTCTAATTGATGTTAGCTGCTAAAACTGCTGTGTGTAGAGGTCCAGAGACCATGGGACTACAAACATTGACCGTAGAATATTTGACTTAGCTTGTAATTAGCGCACTTCCAGTTCTTGACAGAAATTTCTCAGACTTATTTTTCAATATGTTTTCAGAGAAAATGGACTTTGAGGCCATAATTATCTATGTCTGATTCAACAGTACTGCATTTAATTTGAGCAGACACCTACCTCTGATAGCTTATTTGTAGTAGGAATTGTCTTTGAAAAGCTGGAGCTACTTAGCTGTCTTCCCCTTCCTCCCTCTTTTCTTGTAGAATTTGTCATTAATCCCAATGGGAAATCTGAAGTTTGCATACTGCATGAATATATGCAACGAGTCCTAAAGGTTCGCCCTGTTTACAATTTCTTTGAATGTGGTAAGTCTGTTAAGTTTGGTTTGTTGTTTTTTTTTTTTTAAACAAGGACATGCAGTTTTGAAGAGCTTCTCTCATGCTTAAACATCTTAAAAAAAAAAAAAAAGCAATGGACATTTATTCTAGGGCATGTCTTGAAAGTCTATTGAGAGTCAAATTCTAGCTAGGAAATGTTTTCTGTATCTTAAACATGGCTTCTGAGGATAAAGGCAGTCTTATATTTAAAATAACAGTATGGATTTTCACTTGGGAAAACTATGCCTAAGGTAAAATGGATTTTAGTAACTCAGTTGCATCTAAAAGGGCACATCAGTGAAATATGGGCAACTACGATTTCGCTGACTGTGCACAATTAGTATTTGCCTAATTTCTTGTCATTGATACCCAGAAAATCTGATCGGAAGGCAGGCATTGTTGTAGTGAATCATGAGAATCCTGAAGGAAAAAAAAAGTTAAATACTAAACCAAATAGTTTCTGAAGAGAAGTGTGTAGGCCTTCAATTATGGAGCTGTTAAAAATTTGAAAGATTTCTGCAGGCACTTATGTACCCTCTCTAAAGCTGCAATAATTTTAGGTATTTTTGTGGCTTTGTCCTGTTCTGATTTTCTTGCAATTAAAAAAAATACAGTAGGGGGGTTTCTGGGTTTGTTTTTTTAAGATATGTAGAGTTTTAAAATCCTTTAACTGTTCAAATTACTGTGTGTTATGATTGTTGTTGTGTCATGGAGGTTCATATTTAAATCCAGTCATCCTATAAGAATTGTGTATGTATAAATTGATGTTAAAAATTTAAATGGAAATCAGAAATGGCTACGTAGACTATTTGTCTTGTGTGACTCTTCTCTAAGGTCATTGATAAATCATAGCTAATGTTAGTGGAGGAATTACTAGTTAGATGCAGATTGCAAAAAGTTCATACGCGGTTGGTAGAAATTGATTTGGTATAAATGTTGATTAATTTTGCTCATAATATTAGTAGAATGGAAATAGAAGTGTCATTCTGCTGGACCAAAAGTAACTTAAGGACTTACTGAGACTGTGTTGTTCCATGATTAGTATGGGATTTATGTGAAATGTTGGATGGATATCTGTTTGTGTTTTTAAACATCTTTTAATTTTATTCTGTCAGTGGTGAGAGAGGTAATTTAGTAGTTCCTGACTTAAGCTGTACTGAGCCTTTTAAGTGATGCTAGCACTCAGAAGAGCAAAAACTTGGGAAGAAATTTATTGTAGATAAATATTGTAGGCAAATGTGCTCGATGCTTAACCAAGAATCTAAAGATGTTGCATATATGGCAAATAAAACTGGAATCAAATTAATGTTGGGAGGGGTTTTTTTTTCTGTAAATTCCAGACAGATTGCCTTATCTAGTGCCATTTGAGATTGCTTCAGAAAGTGATATAGTATACATTCCTCATGGTTTTGCTTTTGCCAGGGTTTTTTTGGGTACATTATGGAGAACGAAGAAATGACACCTTTTTCAGCAGCAGGCTTGAAAGTATTAAGTCCTGCAGTCAGCATCCGAGCAATTACAAGTCAAGCATCTTAGTTTGGTGTGGAACCTATAATTACTCAGAATTATGTTATTCCTGTATAGGCATTACATAATGTAACTGAATTTTCAATATCAGAATGTATAGCTCTTGTATTTACACTGTGTTAGTGATGCAGAAACTTTGGAAATAACATTTGACTTCTGGCAGATTACAAATGATCTCTTAAAATGTAAAAGTTCTTCATTTGGAAGAATGAACTACATGGCGGTACATCTCTGCTAATGGAAAACTCTATTAGTTTTTCATATACTGGAGTAAGCAATTCTTTAGTCTTTCTGAAGAGTAAACAATTTCCGTCCCTCTTGAAGTTGAAATGAAGAAAACCAATCTTGATAGTGGTAGTGTTTCATGCTCATGATGAGTATTGTACATTGGGAGTTCTGAAAACCTTTCTTTTTCTTTCCTCCTCCATTTCCAGAGAACCCAAGTGAACCTTTTGGAGCCTCAGTGATTATTGATGGAGTAACTTACGGGGCAGGAACTGCCAGCAGCAAAAAACTTGCCAAGAATAAAGCTGGTAACGTTTTTTCTTTCATAATACCAACTGCTGAATTGTTTTATCTGTTTTCATTTCTGCTTTGAAGATGACATATTTGCAATAGTAGGTAGGAATAATTTTGTTAATAGTCAAAGAAGGTACACGCATGGTTTTTTGGTGAAAGTGATAAATATTATTGCAGAGACTTTTCCAACAACCCCAGGTTCAACAATGTACTGGGACAGAAAACCATGAAGAAACTTCAGATGTTAACTGACGTGGAAACTATTGATGTAGACTGAGTCCGTCGTATCTGTAAAGTTGTTTTCTAATACGAGTGGGTATTTCTAGGGGAGATGTGAGGCTTGCTTAGAGTGCTTTGTTCTGCTGTTTTTCTTTACAATCATTGTTTAAAATAAACATAATTGAGATGTTTAATCACTTTCTGCAGCTCGATCTACACTGGAAATTCTTATTCCTGACTTTGTTAAACAGACCTGTGAGGAGAAGCCCAAAGACAGGGAAGAACTTGAGGTACTGAACTCTTACTTGCTGGTTGTCATTATTTCAGTCTGTTTTTAAAAACATTACACCTTCACTGTCAGAAGTATTAATGAAAATCCATAACGTTTTTTTCTTGGTCAGACAGAAATATGAAATTCTTCATTTATAGCAAAATCTATGGCAACGAAAAGACCTTTTTTCTATTGCAACTGATGAGAAAATTTACTGTGATGCAGAGAACTAGTCCCTTGTTGAAGCATCAGGTCACTTACTGAAGACCTGAAATGTTCCAAGACACTAGACTGCCTGTACTGTAATGGCTTCCAGAGTCCTCTGGTTGATGCCTTGGAAAGTTCAGAGCTAGATGCTGTCTGCTTTTGTGTGATCGATTGTCTTAGAAGACCAAGAAAGAACTAAAAGTGCCCAGGCTTCTGAGGCATTTTTGCTTAGCTATGAAAGGTACTTACTGCCTGATCTGACAGCTAAAATTTCAGACTTTACACAGTGATGTTTGAGAAAATCAAAGGAAAAGTTTCTTCAAGTGGATAGCATGTGCTGTATTTTCAGGTATTGGAGATGTTAAACAGCTAGTTCATCAGTGATATGTTCATTTTCAGTTCAGCATGTAACAGACCATCAGTAAGGAGTAAATGAAAAATCAGTGGTCAGCCTGAATGTTTTAATTTTAAAAAAGTGTAGTATACAGAATGAGGTGTTTGAACACTTGCTTTAACTTAAAACTGTATTGTATGCCCTACACTATTGAAATTACCATTAATAAAATGCAGAGAATTTTTCCATTGCTTTAAAATAAAACACAAAATGTTCCAATAGCTGTTATGTTTTCTTTTATTAAACCACATCAGTTAGAATTTCATAATTGGTTAAAACAAATAAAATAACCTGGTCCTGAGGGAGAAAGGATGATAAAGAATTTAAGGTTGTCGTTTCTATGTCCATCCTGTGTAATGTGAAATTTGACTTAAAAGAATTATTTAAATTTGTCTGAAAATATATGATTAGATGTGGTAAATACCTCCATTACAGTTTTAAAAATACTTTTTAAAGTATTAAGCACAGAGTAACAGAATTTGTTTAATGTTGCAATGGAGAACTGAGGGTTAAGAAGAGCATTAAGGTCTTAGTTGCACAAAAGCTCAATAACCCTTTACAATTCTTTTGTAGTATTTTAACCATATCAGTATTGAGGACTCACGGGTATATGAACTCACCAGTAAAGCTGGACTCTTGTCTCCATATCAGATTCTCCATGAGTGCCTTAAAAGGTAAGGCTGCAGAATAAGGAGCAAATTCCATTGTGTGCAGGTGTCTGCTGGTACGCACAGTGTTTGTCAGTAACTTGGACGTTTTTGGGGTGGCCAAGCTTACTGCCCTCATGTGGTGTGGTTAACTGAACTGGTGATGAATTGTCCTGTAATTGATACTTGCTGTTTATCCCTCTTGTCTTCTGAGATTAGGATATATAGATACTTATTTTTTGTTTATACAAGCTTGCCTTTCCATTTGAGTCAAGTTACTGATCTAGAAAAGAACTCTTTAATAATTAATGTCTTAAAAATTGTTGTTAATGTATCTAATTCCATTGCAATGACTATGAAAGATAACTGCAACCACTTCGGCTGTTTGTAATTTTACTTAGTATATGATACTGATTTATTTTTTTTGTTGTGCTTAAGAAACCATGGAATGGGTGATACGACCATAAAGTTTGAAGTGATTCCTGGTAAGAATCAGAAGAGCGAATATGTCATGACTTGTGGCAAGCACACAGTGCGAGGCTGGTGTAAGTACAGTACTTAGTGTGACCTCTGATAAAATCTTCCTTTTTTCCTGTTCTTGTTTGTTGTCTGTTTTGTAGTGCTTGTTCAGCTATCTAGCTTGTTACATGGTTATTCTACTCTTCTCTTGTATCTCAGTTTTGAATAACACAAGTAAATATTGGTGTTCATCTAATTACATAATGTGCCAGTATTGATACGTTTCCATGATTGCTTTTACAGGCAAAAATAAGAGAGTGGGGAAACAATTAGCTTCTCAGAAAATCCTACAGCTACTGCATCCACATGTGAAAAACTGGGGCTCTCTTTTGCGTATGTATGGTAGAGAGAATAACAAGCTGGTTAAACAGGTGAACATGATTTTGCTTGATTGTAACCTACTTCCTGATTGTATTTTTGCTTTTGTATTTTTCTGGGCTTTTAAATCTAGTTACAACAAAGCTTTAAGGGTATCTATTTTGGCATAATAGTGCTGTTCCCTCTCACGGTAAAGGCAGTATGCATTTGGTGAGCAGTTTTTAATTCTTCTGAATTGATTCTCATACCTTGCTATTGCCAGAACATAAGATGAGTGCTTTCACTGACGACAATAATTCTGTTAATCTCGCATCTTCCAGGTCAAAATTATATTTCTTATATCTTTAATATTTTACTAATTCATGGAGATATTTGTTATTACTTAGGGAAGGACAGCTATCACAGATTAAACTTCTGCTCCATGTATTTTAATTTTTTTTTTTTTCATCAGAAAAGCTCATCTGTTTGTTGTTTATGATTCTGTTGAATAGGAAACCTCCGATAAAAGTGTGATAGAACTTCAGCAGTATGCCAAAAAGAACAAGCCAAATCTGCACATCCTGAACAGGTTACAGGAAGAAATGAAAAAACTGGCACAAGAAAGAGTGAGTATATGCTTATTTGTAGTTACAGCAGGAAGAATGCCATGGGTCAAACTTAGCAATGATCAGAATTTTTGCTTGTTTTATACAGTATCTCACAGAGAGAGCTGTTCAAAACAATTTTTTTTTGAGAGGGCTACTTTTAGAGATATTTTCATCCTATCTTTTAAACTGGTTTATAGCTTAATTTTACCTACTTGAGTAAATTTAATCATTAGAACAAGTTAACCTTTCACAACAACTGACGCAAGTTTGGCTAAAATTGTTCAAAATTATGAACACTGTTTTATTATGATTATATTCTCGTTATGACTGCATGGTGGGGTTTGTTTCACATTCTTTTAGGAGGAAACACGAAAGAAACCCAAGATGACAATAGTGGAATCGGCTCAACCTGGTAGCGAACCTCTTTGTACCGTTGACGTCTAATGAGAAAATTTACAAGTGGGGAGCAATAACACAAATGGAGGAACTAGATTTCAACAATTATTTAAAAATTGTTTGCTGCAGAATGCAAGATAACTTTTAAAATCCAAGCTGCTTCAGTTATGCATTGTTCTTTTTGCATCATCAGGGCAATATTACTTTTTCCTATTTTCTTTCTTTTTTGTTTTTTTTGTTTTGTTTTTTAATACCTCTGAGATATGTACGTTTAAAGGATTGATCATAAAGATCTCTACTTGGGCAAATGCACAGAGGACAGGCATGTTCACACAGGATAAAATCAATCAAGCACTTTTTCCTGGAAAGCCATCCATGTTGTTTGAAATGGATGTGTTTTAAGGATGAAATTCAGAATATCTATGTACAGGTTGAAGCTGATATTATATATATATACACATTCATATATATGTATATATAAAAGAAATATATGTACATCTTCTTGTATGAACATGCCTAAAACTATTTTTGTGAAAAGTTTTGTTGCATTTCAGCACATAATAATATGCACTGATAAGACACTTTGGTGACAAATACATGAACGTGATGAGCAATGTTCCTAATGCCATAGGATTAGGCCAGTAATGCTGTTTCTTTTTGGTTTGTTTTTTGTCTCCTGCCAGGCTTAGTTATTCAAGATCACAGTATGCAGATTTTTTTATTACTTGAAAAGAACAAGTATACCTGGTAGTGTTAAGAGCAACAGGCTGAATATCCAAAATTACTGGGTTTTATTTTAATTGAAGAGACCCTACACTAGTTTACAGATCGGTTGAAGGGGAAAAATGTGGACCTATTTATTTGATTAAAATAAAAAGTGTAATTTGAAAGGTTGTTTTCAAAGCTTGGAGCCAAAACGCAGCTGATGGTGGTTGACAGTCTGAAAATATTTTGCCAGTGAGATGTTTAAAGACCTTCCACTCCCTTCTCCCAGCAACAAAACAAATTCTCATTTGTTTGGAGTCAGAATACATCTGACTTGATCAATTAAGTCTTAATTAATTTGCACCATAAACACAAAGAATTTTAAACGAAACACAACACGACCTGGAGAAATTAAAATAACTGCAGCAATTTAGGGTTTTTAAGAAGTTTTTGTTTTTACTTTTTTAATTACGTTTTTAGTTTTTAAAGAGAAAGTGTAACTTCTGCAATGAAAATTAGAATGTAGATTTGGAATATGACATAGAGTAATAAGTAGAATGAGACCATAACAGGTTATACTGATAAATAAGAAAATCACAAATATGCAACTATTACAAAATACAGTCTTAGAAAACAGGCAGTACTCACTGTGTCACCTGAGGCTTTATTAAATTAAGCACAGAAGAAATAGTTTGGGCTGTAGTGAAAGCACTGCTTTGTGGGTTTTGTTCTTCATACGGGGTTCTTTACTGGGTGATTGCAGTAAGTCTTCTCTTAGAACTGTTTTTGTGGGTTCTTTGGTTTGTTCTTAAAGAAGAGAGTGAAAACAAAGCTGGCAGTAGTGGCTTCAGTGATTTATCCAAGAGTTGCACTGCTATGTTTTCCACACCTACTCCTGTAGGAGTGACAGAGGTCAGTTCTTCGTAATTGCTGCAGCTCCTGGTGCTTGCCTGGACAGTGATCCGGGAGCTTGGGGGGGGGCATTTGTTTTGGGGAGGTTTTTGGTTGGTTGGTTTTTTACCATGTTACGTATGGAGTGCTGCAGTGTAATGAATTTAGTGCCTACTGGACTTTAACAACATTGGCATCAGTATTGTAAGACCTCCTTTTAATATCACCCACTATTTTGGAAATATGTGGATTTTAACTTGTATCTCAAACTGATGTTCTCTAATATGTTGCATATAATGTTTGAGGTTAAACAGGAGGAGTCTTGGAGTCTTACATCTTTCTGTGTTTGAGAGATGCTCAGAGGTCTCAGCAAATAGGAATTCACCCATTCTTTATTATTATATTTAGCTCTTCAGTTCCACGAGTTGTAATCCTGTCATAACAGGATAACGGGTAGTTGGAAGACTATACATAAACTATTATTTAAAGAAGTGGCCTATCTAAAAAAAAAAAAACAAACAAAAAGCACTGCCTCTGCTTTTTTTTTTTTTAAATAGCTTTAATAAATCTCCATCTTTTGAAGGGTGTATAGTATTGGTGCAGTAGTGACAAGCAGTGATTACTGTTTGTCTTTTTGTTGGTTTTTTGGGGGTTTTTGTTTTGCTTTCATAAAGAGAGGGCTTATATCTTCTATGCCTCAATGTATTACTCTTTTAGGTAGGTTTTACTTCAGCTTAAGCGTTTTCAGCAGAAGAATCTGTACTTGGATGGCACTGTAAAAGACAAATCGCCCTTACAGATCTTTTTATTTTTCTGAAATCAGAATATCAATGCATTTGCAGGTCACCTGCAGAATATCCAGAGATGCCTCGCTCACAAATTTGTTTTCGTTATTTTTAAGAGGATTGCTGTATTACCTCACTCTGCCACTATCAGAATCACAAGGTGACCGTTGCCCTTAATTAAAACATCCAGAGATTTCATCGTGAACCAAAGCCTAGAACGTATATTATGCATTCTAAACAAAAACAAACAAAAAAAGATGGTATTAGACCTTGCTGCAGCCTTTAACTGGAGAGATGTCCAGAAAATAGCGCAATAACTGCTGGAACAAACAACTTAACTGCTGTTTATGTCATTGTGAAGTATTCTTGTGTTTTAATGTTTACTATTGTTTGGAGTGTAACAGTCTTGCATTTGCACATAAGCACGAGCTGCTGTGATAGAGGATAGATCATTGCATTAACTTCAGCTTCTGCATGAACACTTACAGTGTGATTCAAGATGTATCCTAAACTTGTCTTGTAACTCTTGTGTGTTTTCTAGGTAATCGGCTGTAAAGGTTTAGATCTTGATTGTATGAATGCATAAAACAACTGCTGCTTTTGTCACTGATATTTGTTATTTATCCCTTCTGTGTCCAGAGGAGGATGGGTATTTTTCTAGGGATGGAGTGTATTTTTAAGAGCTGTTCCATCCTTCTGGAACTCGACAGTTTTTGCTTTGCATATTATGTGCTTCTCGACAAAAGTGTGGTATGTGGACTTTAAGGATTAAATTAGTGTGCATTCAAATCTTTATGGTACTGATGGAAAACTTACTGTGACTTCCAGTGAATAGTCAGATGCTACCTATTTAAACACCAGTCATCCAGCTTTTTCTATATTTATTAAACAAAACTGATGAAGTAGTTGGGTACTCAGAAGTTTGGAAAGACTATTATGCATAAACTTAACTGTTGTATGTAAACTTCCACTTTCCTGTGATGCTGTTAGGCTTTATACAAATACATTTGTAACATCCAAGTATTTAAAAGCATCGTGATTATCTTATTAATTCTCTAGACTGTACTTTGATTCTGGAGTAAAAATCAGGAAGCGATAACCTAACTTTCCATGGGAAGAAATGTGAAGTGCAAGAAGCCATGCTGTTGTTAACCAAATAAAACGATCAGTACAGTATTCTGATGTGTATCTGAGACAGGAAAGTGAAAAAACAAAATTCATTCCTATTGCCCAAGTAGGTAACAGTGGCCGCTGTATGAATTGTATTGGGTGCAGTTGCTTGATGCCAGTGCTAAATTGGTACAACTATAAAGCCTCATTTTCACTGAGCCTCTGCTTGCTTTTTTTCTGCACAATCATATAATCCTATGTGTTTGGTCTTTGAGTACTACATGTGTATTTTTCAGACAATTAGTTTTGAGCAATAAAGTTTGATATTATAAAATGCTCCAGTGTGATCAGTATTCTGATAGCTTAAGCATATTTAGACAAAGAAACTTTTACTCATTGATTCCTGTAGGTATTTTTAAATAGAATTAAATCAGTACAGGCTCATTGGTTATGGAAGTACTTACCACTTTTTTTGGTAAGGAATTGAATGTTTACATGGTTAGATGTCACTTGGAATGAAATGGGAGTTAAAACATTTTCTTGAATTGGAATTTGTATTTGTACTTAAATGATGTCACGATTGGAAATGACACAACCCAACATTGCTGGTGTTGGTACCTGTTGTCATGCACCTACCCAGCTGGAAAGGATGGGGTATCAGCAAGTCTGTGTGCTGCAACAGTAGATTTTTTTTTTGTTCGGTCTGTATTAAATGTACATTGGAAGTCTGGTCAATAACTTGAGATTTAAAATGGTTATTCCTTCTACCAGTAGTATTGTCTGTTCTGTAGCTCAGATCGCAATCCGTTAAGTTAATGGTAGGTGCTGAGAATCCTGGCTGGAGAGCAACCCCTGCGGGGGCAGGAGTCTCAGGCAGGTTTGCCTTCATGCCTTGGAAGCACAGCTTCGGGTGCTGGGCTGCGGAGTTAAGTGGTGTTCACAGTCGTGACCTGGGTGTCCGCGATACTGACACACCGTGTTAAGGTTCTGCATTAAATACAACTGCCTCTTTCTCTCACCACACAGGGCTCTGAGTACAATGGTTGAGAAGACCTCTGAGATGAGATCCTTTTGAGTCTAGCGCAGGGCAGTGGTAGAAAGTAACAGTGTGTCCAAAATTACATACTTCAGTTACAACCTCAAATGCTGAATAAGCAGAGGCACTATTCCTATTGCTTTCTCATTCTTCAGTAATCACCAAATTAGACATCACTCTTCCATAAATACATTTTCCATGAGGCTGAGATGAGCCTTTTTAAAGCTACTACACAATCACAAAGCCTCAGTGGGGCCACAGCACTTCCTAGAGATCACTGTGATACAGGAGGTACTTGACCAAAGGTATCCACTGAGCAGTTACTGGCAGTCTTGGAGGAAAATGAGCCTCTATAAAAACCAGAAAATTTCTTACTTCTTCCCACCAAGACAGATGGCCCTGACTGGTGTGTCAGCCCTGTTCTGGCTCTTAAGTTTTCAGGGGTGAGGGTATTCCCAGAGTGAAGTCACCTCAGCTTTACTTGTAGGTTGTAGGAAACTATCTAAGCCTTTATTTTAGTGTCAGTGACACTGCAGTCTCAGAATAAATTAAAGTGTGGAAACTGTAGCATTTTTAGTAGAATACAAGTTTGTTGCTTGCTAGTGAAGATTTAGCAAGTGAGTGATTTATGGAAGGTTTAAGTTTGCTACATCTTCACTAGCTTACTCAAAAGATACAGCACTCTTTAGACAGACTACCAGAGCTGAGTCACTACTGACAGTTGCAACAAGGTTACCTGGATACTGCATGCAATCAGTCTGCAGGGCCCTCCTTGCTGCTTGTCTGCTCGTGTGGTGTTGATCAATAGCAGCTCTTCACTAATACTTCAAGTACGGTGTATTATACTCGCACTGGAAGGGATGGTGGCGTATTA